GCCCTCCCGCCCTCCCGCCCTCCCGCCCTCCCGCCCTCCCGCCCTCCCGCCCTCCCGCCCTCCCGCCCTCCCGCCTCCCGCCCTAACTTAAGGTGTTGATGGATAAGACGGCGGCTTTGGAGGTGCTGCGGGAGTGGCGGCAGGCAGCTGCTGACGCGGCAGCCGCTGTGACGGCTGCAGCCGCAAGTACTTTGGCCGCCACCGCACCAGCACTCGCCGCCGTAAACTCCGTACCAACACTAGCAGGTAAGTGCTTGGGTGAGTTACGTCGTATCTGCATGTGCTGATGTAGCATATGTGCTGTGTATGCATGTCAGGCCAGCATCGTCTGTAAACAATATTGGCATGTATGGTCTAGAATAGACCGTGCCCTAATATAATAGATGCGGAGGGTCCCTGCCTATCATCCCAGGTAACGGGTTATAGACAATTTACGAAAATAATATGTTACAGACGATCAGCCGGCGTATTAAAAAAGAGACCGAATGGGGTGGAAACTTAGCCGTGTAGTTACGCAATTAATGGATTTGACTGTTCCAGAATATCTAAAAAAGCCGGTTAAACACACGCTGTACGGCTTCCTCCTCTCTTCACTCTTGCGTCGACTCCCCCAAAAATTGCATATCCACAGAAGCAGCGTGCGCGAGCGTCTCAGGGGAGACCGCCACAACTCCCCGAATGGTGTCCCCTGCATCCCCGGCTCGTATGGTGACTTCTGAAGCAACCCGGGCTCTGCCAGCCAGCGAGGTTCCGCCGCCTACACTGCAACCTGATGCTCGGGTTGCTCCGGAGCCAGAACCCGAGGGTATGCAAGCAGGCATTCGATTAAGCTTTGTAATGCCGTACATAAGACTGCCGTACATGAGGGGATTCCTAAGTATATTCGTTGCCGAAGATGGGAAGAGTTGAAAATGAAATTAATGGATAGAGCTTGAGAAAATGGCTTAAAATGGTAAAAACAATGGTTTAATAAATGGTGAAAGTGCTGGCTTCTTTTTCCACTCACATACCATTCTCCACTCATATCATTATCCTTTTTTTGTTAACTCTCACCACGCTTTCTTGCAATCGGGTTTAACAAGCCGAACCATCCGTGCAACCATCCGTGCCTAAGCTGTTGGCCTTTCCCCTACATAATAATCGGCAGTGACGTGTCCATAGACACCATAATCTCGTACGGGCACGTCTCGTACGGGCACGTCTCGTACGGGCACACAGAGGGGGTTCCCTATACCTCTCCCGCACAGCCATATATACACCATGCATTATGAGAAGCGGCTCTTATGCACCTGCGCTGATTAATCCCAACTTATGGGTCTCAATTTCTGCAGCGACGACTCCTAATGGAGCAGCTGTTGCTACTGCGGCTGCAGGTGCAGCCATTGGCGGTAGCGTCAGTGGCCCGCTGCCGATGTCTGCATTGCCAACGGACACATCGACAGCATTTGAGCCGGAGACTGGTGATACAGTCGCCAGCACAACCGGGCCACAACAGCGGCTACTGCAGCAGCAGCAGCCACAACCGCTACAACCGCCGCAACCACAGTCGCATCAGCAATTGCAGTCGCCATCGTCTGTAGACGTGGCCACTTCGTCGTCTACACACCGCAGCCTCAGCCCTTTGCAGCCCTTTGGTTCCACAGCAATCGCAATCCATTCCTCTGCAACCCCCCCACGTGCTACCGCAGCTGCCGCCCCTGCGACCGCACCATCACCGCTACCGCTACCAGCAGTGCAGCCAGGCGAAGCACTACCACTCTCACCAGCCGTAACCCTGCTGCCACCAAGACCGCCGATACGCCCGATATCCGCATCCCTGAATGCACCGCAGACAGAGGTGTCTACTGCTGCTACTGCTGCTGCTGCTGCTGCTGCTGCTGCAGCTGCAGCTACCACCGCTGCTAATAGCATCACCCATGCTGCCATCTCATCCGGATATCTAGCGGGAATCACTCAGCAGCCTCCCACTCCGGCGGCACCCGTGCTGTCACCGCCATCACCCGCTCCAGGTGGCCGAACGGCGTCGGGGTCGTCTCTGCCTGTGGCCCGGGTAGCCCAGCAGACGGCGATGGAGCCAGGGCCTGTTCTTGGGCCTTCTTTGGGGCCTGTTCTTGGGCCTTCTTTGGGGCCTGTTCTTGGGCCTGCTGGGCCTTTGTCACCACTCCGCACGACTTTGGGCACAACGACTAGGCCCACAGCCGCCGCTGCCACCAGCAGTATCGGCTGCGGTAACAGCGATGGTGAATGCGGTGGCTTGGCATATGAGCGCTACCTGTCAGCGCTGGCGGCAGGTGCATTGGCGACGACGGCACGTGCCATGGTGTCACTGTCCGTGGTACAAGTTGTGGATTTGGGTATTTTTCAGCTGAAAGGGCTTCCAGAGGGCCAGGCCGTGGTTTCGGTGCAACTCAAGGCAACGAGCAGCTCGCCAGCTGCTACAGCAGCCGCGCCGACATCTGCTTCTGCCATTGCTGCTGGCGGAGGTGGAACGGCAGGAAGGGGGGTGGTGGAGGGAGAGGCGGCGGCAGGTGACGGGGCAGGAGCAGGAGAAGGATTCACGGGAGGTGAAAGGACGACAGAGACGTGTGGTAACAGGGGTGGTGGTGCTGCTGCGGGCTTGGGCAAGAAAGCGGTGTTGCTTGCTGCCGGCCAAGGGCTGTTGGATGAGGTTCTGGTGGCGCTTCCCGCATTCCTGCCCCTGGGCAGCTGTGCAGTGGTTTAAGGGGCGCTATCCTGGAGAGCGGTGTTCGGCACGACAAAGGAGGGGATGGCACACGAAGGGGGGGAAGGGGCAAGAATTGATTTTTTTGGTTGTCGTCAATAATGACCCACATGAGCATTGAGAGAACAGCTTTCTCTAGTTATATGCTGACTTTGCTGCTACATACTACACGGTGTTGTGTAGTTTTGTCGAACTTAGGGTTTCTGGTGGTTCTTTTATTTTTACCCGATTAAGAAGTCCAGGCCAGCGAATGGCTCCCTCTCTGCTTGTGTGGCATGCTTACACGCATGCTTGTGAAACATGCTCAAATTCTCACATGTTTCGTTTCTGGTTGTGTGTGTGTGTGTGTGCGTGTGTATGTGTGTGTGTGCGTATGTATGCGTGTGTGTGTGTGCGTGTGTATGCGTGAGAGAGGGAGAGAAAGAGGGAAAGAGAGAAAGTGAGAGTTAAGGTGTTGCATTCCTTTCCAAAGGTGTGAGAGGTTGTGTACGTTCCGCAGTGCCTGTTTATGAGTCGCTTCCCGTCCTTGGTTTACCCAGTTTTTATTCTTTGGTGGCTTATTAGTGATATCACCCTGTAAGGGTTCTTTCCATGTCGTAAAGCGAAATGCTTTCAGAGAACATGCCGTCGGTGCGCTGTTGTTGTTCTAGTTGTTGTTATTGTTTTAGTTGTTTTAGTTGTTCTTGTGGTTGGTGGTGGGGTGTTACACTGTGGGCGGCTCGTCGCGAGAAAGGGCGAGCACCGAGGCCCCTGACCGGGGGCCGAAACACAGAGCAGGGGCGGGCGCGCGGCTCTACGTCCGTCTGTTCCTCCGTGCACACCTCACTCCCTCACTCACGCCAGCCGGGGCGCTCTCCCAGCCCCTGGCTATGCAACACCGCGGCGCAGAAGACTGCGAACCGAACTAAGCGAGAGCCGCGCGAGAGGCGTCACACCACCTCCGGGAACCCTAAATAGGCTATCTGCCCCCACTTCGCCTGGCCAGCCTGTTGTTGTTCTTGTTGTTGATGATATACTTTTGTTACATTTCAAACCAAATGTTGCGATGCAAACCTGTGTGCCCACCGTTGTCGTTTAACTACAACGTAGTTAATCTATGTAGATGCATGCACGCATGCACCGTGCAACGCATGCATGCACCGTCGTGAACGCACGTGCCGTATAAAACGGGTAGGAAACATGATATACATAAGCATTCTACCATACTCCAGGATGGCGGTTGTTGCATAAATTTTTATGGGGGATACCTGGCATGCACGCATGTATGTCTGTATGCATGTAGCTGGCTGGGTCGGCTGGGTGATGAGTAAGTAATAAGCTGATGGCGAATGAGTGAGCGAATGAGTGAGCGAGCGAGTGAGTGAGCGAGTGACTGAATGAGTGGGTGCGTCAGTAGAGGCTATAGACCTGGTGCCGCTGAAATCTGAACTTGTTGTGTAGTTAGCCGGCCGCTGAAAAGGCCTCTGCAGGTGCTGATGAAGCGCCTTAGCGCGTATTTGTAGACGATGTATGTGCCATACTATGAACAACTACTACACCTTGCTTGAGGTGGGGCCATATGCGTCCTAGGCTATTGCATGGTGCTGCTTAATTAGGCAGCTGCTTTACCAGGTCTGCCTATCTACCTGTCTAGCTATGTCGGAAGCGCTCTCTCTCCACGTGAAGCCGCTGCTCCAAGGAGACAAGTTTTGACAGGCACGCCGCTTATTTGACAGGCACGCCGCTTATTTGACAGGCACGCCGCTTGTTTGACAGGCACGCCGCTTATTTGACAGGCACGCCGCACCTGCACAATCCTCAAACCTATTAGTGCGGTCTGAAGTGGACTTCTCATTAAATTTATTTTTTTCTTTCATTAAGCACTGTAGCCTAGCCACAGGTACGCATGTCGTGCCACTGACCCACGTCTCAGCTTTGTTGGGCACGTACCTCCTACTACCGATTACCACCAAGGTCGTCGAAGCGAGTCTTATAACGGTTACTTGGGCCACCAACTATGTGCTAGCTGTGCCAGTAGCTGTGCCAGTAGCAATCCATGGCACGAGCACACAAGTCGGTGGCTATTGCAGAAAATCGCCTATCATGAACTAGCAACCCTAGTACCACCCAGCGCTAGAGTTTTTATTATCACTCCTCCATACTACTACTACTCGTACCTGCTGGTAAAACCATGCCTATGCTCCCAGCTAAACACATCTATGACATTAGGTCGCTGCTACAACCCGCAGCAGCAGCAGCGGCAGCAGCAGGTACCTTTACCCTCTCCTCTCAAAGGGGGAGAGGGTAAAGGAAGTTCACCTAGTCCCGGCCCTGTCAGGCGAAACCCAAGACGTGCATCCGCTCGCACGGCAATCGAGTAGTGAGTACGAAAATAACCTAATGCAGTCGTCACGAACAGAAGACGGAAGCCTCCTGACTTGCGCCGTTCGCCGTCTACCATCCAGCAGTCTCACATTTCCAGTTTCACCACCGTGGTCCTTGCTGTGTTTCCTCTAGTTCGGCTTGTTCCTCAGGTAAACCGAACTCGCAGCTACATCCGTCATTTCCTATTCGGCCTCTGTTTCTCCACAGAAGCGGCGCTCCACTTCGCTGCTGTAGCGTCGTCTCTCGTCCGTGTCAAGGCTTTCCCCCGCTTGACAAGGCTTCCTCGGCCTGCCCGGTGTGCGCCCCCCATCCCCCTGCGCACCGTTTCCCCCTGCCCTCTCTTACGCCTGCATCTGCCTGACAGCAGGCCCAAAACACCTTGCCTCTCTCCGGTGCCGGGTGCGCGCCGCCCTCTTACACCCCTCCCCTGCTTTCCCTCCTCCCTCTCTTCCCTGGAGTCCCGGCTGCACCCGTGAATCCGCTGGGACCGACCCAACCTCAGAAATGATGAGATCACGGGATGTCATGTCACTGTTGCCTTGATCCTCTGGAGGGCCATGATAAGGCTGCCCTCTCCCACTTCGCCCCCCCCAAAGAATGAGCGCCCCATATCTGCCCCACCATCAACCTGTACGCCACATCTTTGCATTCCCTTAGGGTCTGGGGCTCGCTGTAATATATACAGGGGGTATAAATATATATATATATATAGCTATACACCACATCTGAGCCATTCGTTTGCTGTTTGGGAACCAAAGCTAGTTGGTTCGTGCAGTGGGTGGGTAACGCAACCGAGGTGCAAACACACACACACACACAGACACTCAAAGACACAGACATACATACACAACAGGCAGACACATAGACAGACAGACACACAGACAGATAGACAGACAGACACACAGACAGACACTAATGGCATTAACGGCTGCCGGAACCACCTAACACGACGTTACAGGGAGCCTGTATCACCCCTTCCAGGTGCGCGGGGAGTTCATGTCATGTCTCATAGTGCCTGCCGCCCACGTTAACACACAACGAGCCTCCTGGCGGCGGCGGCGGCGGCGGCAGGCGCCCCTAACTACGATACGGCAGCCAGAAGGGGCCAACGGTCCGCGAGCGGGTGTGGTTGGGCAGATGGCTCTTGGTGGGATTGTTATGGCCCCACGGCTGCCGTACCCCGCTCCGTACACGCCGCCACGCCGCCAGCCGTTACAAGCACGTCCACGTGCTGATCATGCTCGTCCACAGGTACGGCAGGGATCAGCTGTGCCGCGTACGACAAGGCCACTGAAGGAGATGTCGAAGGGTGGATGGTGGTGTTACACGGCCGCCCATTGAACGTCCCCACACGCACTTGGGTACATGCACACGGCGCTTCACAGTTGATGCATGCCAGCGTGGTTGCAATATCAAACGAACGGTATTATATTATTATGTATTACAGCAAAGACTGCGTCCAGTCCAGCGAATGGCTTTGCGGTACGACAGAGACGCGCTGCATTGCGGCTGTGTACGGTACAGCCATCGTACACACCACTCTGCATACACGGAGGTACATGTACGGCAAGCCGCACCTGCACCCCCGGCAAATGGCAAAGCACTGGCAAAGTCCACGACGTACTGCTATACATGGCTTCTGGTTAAGCACCATCGTACACTATACGACATGGCCCCATGCCCCTTCGCCCCGCGCAGCGTCCACCCGCGCCTCCCTTCACCCCCCAAGCCCGTTCCCGCCAACCCAAGCTCACCAAACAGCGGCGGGTCCCTGCAGGCCTCGATCGCTTGACGCTGCAGCTGAGATATCATTTTGTCGTAGTACCTTCGACCGAGGGTGTGCGAGACCGATGTCAGAGGGTGGGACAGGTAACTAACCAATTTAACGGTAAATACGGCAGAAGAGCTAAGAGAGGGGTAGGTTGGGAAGCGGACTTGAAAACATTATGAATCCCACCACCACCACAGCGGCACTCGGCTCCCTCCCACCCAGGGGGAACGCAGCAGGTCCAGGTCATGGCCCCCGGGGCCCCCGGCAGCGGTGTCGGAGCCAGCGCCGATGGGGGGTCGTACGGGTGGGTCATCGTGTCAGATAGACCGGCAGTGACGATCGGGCACCGACACCGGGCGCTGCCGGGTGCGGCGGTAGCGGCGGCGGTGGTGGCGGCGATGAATGGCCCCAAAAGAACCCTAAGCCCCTTCTTCTATCCTGGGAGGTGCCTGAGTCCTCCACCTGATGGTTCCGGAGCCGGAGCCCCGCCTGATGAGGCCCCTCGGCCGTGTTTCCCCCTCTAATCCCCCTTCCCCCTCCTCTATCCCCCCCTCCTCTACCCCCCCTCCTCTAC